ACACACACACACACACACACACACACACACACACACACACACACACACACACGAGATACAGATATCAAGCGAACACAGAGTTAGCAGGAATACAAACTCTGTTAGTGTAAGCTGGTATCAGCATGGCACCTTAGACTGTAGTTGGGCACAATCAATGTGCACCTTTGGTGAGACAGGGATAAGCATCAAGTCTTAGGGCATGTTAGGGAATAACCATCAAACAGTAGCAGACACATGGCTGACACCAGTCAGGACTTTCCCTTTCAGGCTCACTTTCAGGACACTCCCTGATGGCGCATCTTCACTGTAGAACAGTTAAAGATAGCTGACAGCGAAGGGCTTCGTTGTGGGCTAACGGAACGTTTGAAAGCAACTGTGTCATCTTGAGTGCCCCATCTCATCTAAAGCGGGTGGGCATTTACTACTCTTTTGTTGAGACTCTTGGAAACTGGACTCTGGTGTGTTTGATGGTAATGCTGTTAGATCCCCAATGTGCAACAGTACCTGTGTGTTTACGGAGTAAAACAGTGACTAGGACGGCGAAGTGTGAGGGCGGCTGCTGAGGCCAGACCCTCTTCACAAGGCGAGAAGCGATTAAGGATGACAGTACCTGGAATACTTGCAGGGGAAATCGGACCAGACCGCGATTGGCTGCTTCCCACCGGAGAGCCAACAGGAGAAGGAGAAGGCCCTCCAGGGATGCTGGAGAGATGGGGCGATGCATGTGGGGAGAAAGGTGACTGAGCTGGGTTGCTCTGATCCCCCTGGCTGCTAGTAGAGCCTGAAGCACTGACTGCTGAGCTCAGAGTTGCTTCCGTTCCTGTGGGGAGGTCATCAATGGAGCCAGACAGGTCCTGAGGAAGAGAGAAAAAAGCAGGTGTTCACACTTGGAGCACTAAGCACACAACACACGATTTCAAAGCCACGGCGCCTCGCCTTCAGAGAGTGTGAATGGGGAAGGCCGAGAACTCACACAGAGGGCCTGGCATCAATTAAAAGATGAGGCAAGCTGTATCGGGCACTCACAAGTGACCCTTGAAGGTTGCCCTTCTGCCACGAGCACCCAGCTGTGTACCGACTCACAATGCTGTATGTGGCAGCTCTCTGCAGAGCAAGTAACCACAACATGGAATATGAAGTGGTCCTTCAGGAAGACTTCAGTAAATGGAGCAACTATAGGCTTGGGGAACCTTCACATGGAAATTCAAATTGGGATGTTGTAATTTAATACTGGCCAAAATTACAACTGAATTTTGTGGTGAAAAATTCTCCCCTTTTAAGCATTATAATAAAATAATGCTATTTACATTTTACTATATCATGAAAAGACAACCCTATTGACACGATATAGTCAGATACGGGTTCTAGTGTTACACGACATGCCCTCATGCAACAATTCTGTACTGTTATACCAATCTAATTTGACTACAGCACTTGCAGAGGAAGTTTCTACAGTCTCCACTTAGAAGCTCCACAGAACTGAGGCTTGGATTACTAATCACTCACGGGCATGCTCCTCAGGAGAGAACACACCCAAGACTCGAGAGGAGAGGCCACTGAATGGGTAACAATTTGCCGCTGTGCTTACAGGCTTAGAAGGGAACCCTTCCTCAGATGCCCTGAAACCAGACGCAGGCCTGCTGGTATGACAGCTCTCCCAGAAGGTCAGCTCGGTGAGGTCCATCTGGACGGGGAGGTGAATGCAGTTAGAGCCTAAGCTGCTGTATAAAACACCAGGGCACGCCGCTCAGAACTGACGTGCTCTGCTCAGCACTGTCCAGACGTAACCTTGCTTACTATAGGGTCTTCTGAAGTGAGCGCTTCAGAAAGAAACTCAGCCCAGAAGGTAGGCAGCCGGCAAACTCAAGACATCCTAGACCCTGGACAGTGAGCTGAGCCAGGCGCTTCCTTTCTAGAGGATGTTATCAAAGATAAAATATACATAAAATACAGCTGAGCAGCCCCATAAAAACAAGAAGTTTACTTCAAAAGTCCTATGACAAGAATAACACTGGTTTAAGTAAAATAAAAAGTAATTTTTAAAGTCAGTAATTCTGCTTATGAAAAATAATATGATGATTGAAAATATCTAACCTCTGGAAAGGGTAGTATCAATTCTCAGATATATGAGGTAAATTGAATCAGATTTTTCAGAATTCAGAGATAAAACAAACACTTTTGCTCTAGGTGATTTTGGCATACGTGATTTTGCACACACTTAGCTGGTAAAGCTTCCCATTGAAACTTGATTACTGACTGGCTGGGTGACAGTCTCACTTAGATCTTATAAATTAGATCTGGCTTTTACAAAGCCAGGTAGGAATAGAAGGAGGATATTATTCCAGTAATATGCCACACAACTCAGAAATAAGCCACCTTCTGGCAATCAACACAATTCGTACAGTTCCATGAACAAAACTTAGACTGGCATGTCCTAAGAGAAAAGGGACCCATTCCTCCGTCTCCAGACCTCCTGTGCATCCCTCATAGTGCCATCTTAAGAGCTGGGTGGGCACAGAACAGGGTGGGAAGGAGGGGGAGGAAGGGCCGTGGCTCAGCTTCTCAGTGTTTGCCTCCCATGTGTCCCCTTCTTAATCTATGTAAGCAACTTAAGAACTTGCGAAAGGACTGCAACCAAAACAACTGCAGCCAAGGACCTGTGGGTTGGAGGTGAGCTCTGACCATGCTCCGCCCACAAGCTGCCCACATGGTTAAAGTGCTTGAAACAAACGAAACGAAGACAGTAACAGAAACCCCAAACAGCAGTATTTATTAACATACTGGAAATACATGGAATTAAAATGGTGGCCTCACTGTATTTTCTTAAAACAAGACCCAGCCAATGCTCAGGCCTGCCCATGACTGCTGTGGCAATGACTGAGAGGAGTCACAGCAGTGGCCCAGGTGAGTGAGGAGTTTTACTATCTGACCCCTGACGCAAAGACCTAGGTACAGGTGCTGGCCGGGTCTCAGGTGAACCACAAGGGGACCTCTCAGCATGTGCCAGTACATGCACACTTTGCAGGAGCAGTACCACAACCTCTCGCAGGTGCCGACTGAGAGAAACAGGTTTCCGTGCACAATGAATAATCTCCATGCTGAACAAAGAAACACACAAACAAAGCAAAACCAATAAAACAAAAACCTTCTGGGACTGATGATTTATCAGGTGCCTGTGACTGAGCCTGACAACCTGAGTTCGAATCCTGGACCACACAGTGGAAGGAGAGAAGCACTTCCCACATGTGTCCTCTGACTCACGATCGAGCCCCAGGTCCCATACACTGGAGCAAGCTGCTTCCTCAGCATTAACAAGCAGGGCATACTCTGTACACGAGACGGCCTGAGAGGAAACACTTGTCCCACACCTTTACAGAAAACATCATCTGGTAAACAGCTAGACAATCATTTTCTACCACTGACCAAACAGAGTTAAACAGAGACAATGTAAATTCAGCTTTCAATTGTAGTTAAATAATTTTATGCAAATCTTCCTTCATAAAAACTGGAATGTTACTCATAAATTTTTGTAATTCTCTGCATGACCTACAAATTTCTTCCCCATCCTCCCTTAAAAATCCACATTATTGCTGAAAAAAGCGACAAACATGGGTGTTAAGAGAGCTTCATTCAAGCTCCAAAGGCATCAAAAACATTTCTGTTATTCAACAGGCTGATCAAGGAAGCATCAAGAGGAAAATATAAAAATGGTGGCTTCCTTCATGTTCAAATGTCATCAGAATTTCAATGCTGACTAGACCTTGGTGCAACAGAAGAGCAATAAAAAGATATAATTTTTATATTACTGCTATACCCTCTCGGAACTTTTATATGTAAATGACAAAGAAATGCTCCCGCCCTGCAGATCCTTGCAGTATCCGTGTGTAGAGCTGTCTTAAGGCGCACTAATAAAGGAAGTTCAGCAGTGGTTTAAGCATTCAGCCTCGTTAACACTCCCCTAGAGGACAATTAGTCAGCAGGGCCCCAGCTCCCTTCTTCGGTAAGTACTATCAGATCTGTGATGCCTGCAAAGGCAGAGGCTGCTCCTCACAGCGAAGGCACCTTCAAGCTACAGTGCTTCCATCCCTCTGTCTTGCTGGAGAGCTGGCAGGCCGGGGACTGAAAGAGCTCTGTGAGGGCTGTAGTCCTAGCCCTACAGCTCCCCTCCCAGCCTCTCCTCCCTGATGGACAATGACTTCCTGGGCTCACACCTAGCAAAGGTACTTCCTTATCATCATAATCTGATGTGGTGAGGTCCTGCCATCAACTCGGGTTTTCTCTGTTTAATGCCACCCAGAATACCGAATGTTTTTCCATACAACACAATTAATGTGAGCTTACTGTCAATGGTCCATTGACTTCTAAAAGCCCCCATCTCACAAACATCACAAAACCTTACAACACTTTTCAGTTTAAAACCACTTCAAGGCAAGGTACATTTTACCACTGTGACCTCATATCCCTCCCCTGCCCAAGGAAAAAAATCTCAGTCTGACTCAAGTGGCTGGGCAATGAAAGAAATGCTACAGCAGCAGCATTCTCGTCTGACTTTCACAAGAGGAAAGACTATGAATTAATACAATGCAACAATGCTCCTGATTCTTTATGTGGGCATAGTAAGAGAAGCAAAGTACATGGAAAATTCCATGAAGATGGTATGCAGGAATTACTATAAAAGAGCTACATGCAAACAGAAAACATGGAACACTGAGTATACGTTTTCTAATGTCTATACGTTGCAAATGAACCTCCCTGAAAATACTTACATTAATATTTTTGAGTCGCTACATCAAAGTATCTCTGGCTTTGATGGTGTGGTGTTCAACTCAGCATATGTGAGCCCAAGATAAGTTCAGGCAACACCGGCGATGTGATACTGACTCAGAGAACTGGGAATAAGCTAGGAAACTGTACTCCCTTGCTTAATTAAATAAGTGGGTCTTCAAAAAGCAAATGAACTTCCAAATACTCCAAGCCACAGCTCTCAGTACAATCAGCTGCTGGTGGAGATGAGCCCTGATGCTGAGCTGCCCCGCATTGCACACATTTGGACATCCCTTGCTTAGGCATGCCCCATGAGGACAGGGGATAAACAGCGTTAGGAACAGAGAAGATATTTCAATCAATGCAACAGGCACAGGCCTCATTTCAAGTTTTAATAGGACACAGCTAATGATTTCTCACTGTGACATCCCAGGGGATCAAGGCATGGGTTAAAATGCTGGTTCACGACTCTTCAGAACTCTCAGTGATCTTCAGAAGCAGAAAGACCTTGCTAAACCCTGCCCCCCAAACACAGAAACACATGTACACACAGAAAAACACAAACATACACAGAGAAACACACACAGAAATACACACTCAGACACACAGAAACACAGACACAGAGAAATACACACAGGGAAACACACTCATACACACACAGAAACATACATCTCACACACAGAGACAGACTTACACATATACATTCCTTCAACTAGACCCTAATTTGAGGGCACTGACTCTTAGGCCAGGCACAGGACAGGAGGGATTCGAATGTTCAAGAGCAAATTAAACTCAGCTTCTAAGCACTACAGTGGCAAACATTACACACTGTATCCAGCCCATGCAAACAGTTCTAAACAGTTACCACAAAAGCTCTCCTGAAAACTACTGACCCAGCTGTTAACATTTTATGAATGACTTCTCAGCCTGACTGCCAAGCAACACCCCAGGGGGTCAAAGACCTACTAGCCTCATTAGCTTCTTAGCCCTCTTGAAAAGTACCATAAAGTAACTTCACACCTTCCCAGCTTATTTTGGTACTATAACTTCAAGTATTTGATACAAATATACCTTGAAGTTGATATTAAAT